TACATACCTGGGAGTGAACTACTGTATCTGGAACGGCTTCCCACCTTAAGTATCCATATCGAATTTGATGGAAGCAGTGTTGAGGCTTTAAAACGCGCATGTAAAGCGCAGTCGGAAGTTGTCATTACTTCATACGTATATAATGCCACATTACCTTTATCATCAGGTTCTATCCATGCCATCAATGTCGATGCTCAGAGAAGCGGACGGTCAAATCAGAGTGGCAGTAGAACAGTTCCTACATCTGCGTATGAGGACTGCAAATGACTTATTCTATCTGGCCAAGACAGATGGAGGACTGGGATTCCTGCGGCTCGCCCAAACCGTTCCTAGAGTTGCGCTGAACCTAGGATTACGATTAGAAAAATCTGAAGATCCTATTTGCAGATGGTTGAGCTCCTGTCCGATTTTGTACCAACGGACACTAAAGACCGCAAAATCACTAAAACTCAACTGGCCCTATTCTGAACAAGATTTAAGGGCTTAAAAGAAGAAATCCGCCGATGACGAGGTAGCCACCTGGGAGAAGCTGGGATCCCAAGGGAGAGCAGTTAGGGCGCATATAAACGATCCGATTGGAAATGCCTTTTTTGAAAGATTATCATCTTCTGAAACCTGGTCTTTTTATCACTGCACTCCAATTGAGATCAAATACCGCTGCCAGTAAAACTACTCTTTTTAGAGGAAGGCCCAGAGAGGATGTTTACTGCCGGAAGTGCAATACAGCGGTAGAAACCATGATTCACATTCTCGGTCAGTGCATTTTTACGAAGCCAGCAAGAATAAAGCGTCAAAACGAGATCAAAAACTTCATAGAAGGGATGATGCTCCGGAAATTGGACACGATGGTGCCCGCGGAAGCCACACTCTCCGTTGCCGAAGGTTTAGAGTCAAACTTGATCTGGTAATAAAAGGCCGGGAAGGGGTCCACGTGATCGATGTGACTGTCCGCCACGAGGATGGGTCTAGCCTCCTGAAAGCAGAGGAGGAAAATTGGTAAAATATAAGCCAGTCATCCCCCTGGCAGCCCAACTTCATGGAGTACCCAACGTCAGAAACCTGCCAGCGGTGGTTGGAACCTCTGGGGCTATGCCAAGATTTACAGTCAGTGCCCTCAAGACCCTGGGGATCACGTCTCGAGGCGATCTCGTTAATTGCTGTCAGCTCTATTAAACTTTACACACAATTTGTAAATTACGATGGAGAAATTTAGCATTGCTGGTAGTAAATGGAGGGACTTCACACTAAACACTTCAATGTCATGTGGGGAAGTCTAGGGAACCCATTTGATCCTAAAATGCCTAGGAATTACCCAGTTACCGCGACTCTTAAGTGGGAAGTGTATGCTATTTAATGTAGCATATAGAAAATTGTGTACAGAGAATACTCTTTTTGTGGGCCTTTATTGCCGAAAAATTGATGAAGGGCAAATGTATGCCCGACCGTTCGTGTATCAGTAAGTCCGCCAGAAATATTTAATAGCTACGGCCAACAAAGGATCCAATCAACTTATGTGGAAGATACAGCCTCTGAACTGTAAAGTTTTCCTTGTCTCAGACTAATTCGGGTACTTCCTACACAAATCCACAGGCATAAGACACTGTTCAAGCAATTCCGTTTCAGAGAAAGGACCACAACGGATGCGATCGACACGCTGAAAACCTAATAACGAACTCGTCTGCCCCCAAGCCGAAATGAATCGCTATAAAAGTAGTAGTTGCCCTAAAAATTGCAGAAATTACCATTAGAACGAAAAGTGACCTATGTGGCTCTAGGCAGAACCTCATAGAGCCAGTTCAGCTCAAAACCATTTAGAAGAATCATATTTTAAATACAAAAAATTGGGCTTCCGACGAAGAGTGATGTGACCAGGCTCTCCGTATCCAACACCCCTGCAGGATGGCGGACGCCAGCCTGTTATTTGCGTCGCTTTATGCTGTTCAGCAACTAAATAGAGACTGGAAGAGAATATGATATTAAATTATATGATTGTAAATATTAAAGAATGGAAGGTTAATAGAAACAAAATACTAAGAAATGCAGGACATTCCGTGGAAAACAGGAATCGACAAATAATACTAGGAAAATGTGCATTTGTAAATTTAGGGGAATAGAGATCTAAAAGTTTTCTGTATAACACAATTTCTGGAAAGAGGAAGTGGTTTTTAAGATTTCTACTAACGGGAAGTGAATAGATTTGTACCACTTCTTCATTCTAATAAAATAATATTTTAAACTTGTACCTCCTAACTTTTTAGTGAATAGGCCCAATTTTCATCCTGCGGTACTGATCTTCCTCTCATTTAGAACAAGGAAAAACATGTGTTGGACCATCCTAAACAATGGCTTCGTTATTGAGCATGTCAATACATTATTTTGTCCTTATTACATAAATATCTATTTGAAAGAAATTTGTCTTATTTTAAAGAAACAAAAAGACCAGAACCCCTTGGACAGATGAGAGAAGAAAAACATCGGGAGAGGATGAAAGAATTCGAGGAAGAAGTAGTTGGAAAGAAGCAAGGAAGAAAGAACCAGTTGAAAGAAACGTGGCTCCCCAATGCACAGTGCCATGGACAGACACACACGCTCTCTCTCTCTCTCTCCTCTCTCTCCTCTCTCTCTCCTCTCTCTCTCCTCTCTCTCTCTCCTCTCTCTCTTATATTGATGAAGAAGAATGGAAATTAAGTGATGAAGAATTACGTGATAAATTAAAAAAAACAATAAAATTGGTAAACGAGAAGAAGGGATAAAACAGAAGTTACCATAATAATTTTAACAGATGCAAGAATCAATGAAGTAATATTGAATCAAGGAATGTTGAATATAGGATGGAAAAGATGTCCTTTATTTAATCTAACCAGTGACGAGAGATTCTGCAAATGTTGGGGTTACTACCATGTGGTAAAAAACTATACATGGAATAAATCATGTCATAAATGTGCAGGTAATCACATTTCAAATGAATGTTCAAAAAATAAGAACTGTATAAATTGTATGTATAAAAACCAAACATACAACTTAAAGTTTAAGGATGGCCATGATGCGTTGAGTCCAGAATGACCTACGTTTAAGAGGCTTTTACAAGAGGAGAAGAGAAGAGCCGGCTGTGAAGATACAAAAAAACACAGAAGGAAGAAGAACTGAGATTGTACACAAATTCGCAGAATTTGATAGCGCATGAGGATGAAATACGTAATCGAGTCGTAAAGAAAAGTCACTCAGCAGTGATTGCATTGTCTGAAATATATCGTGAAGTGAGCGTGCCGTGCTATGATATAATCAGATGTGATGCAGAGAATACAAATGCTGGAGGTGCAATATTATTTTTGAGAGAAGATATTAAGTATGAAGTGATGTTCACTAAATCTATGAATATGAACTGCTGGTGCGTTGCAATGGACGTAAGAACAATTTTACAAAGCGCTGATGGTAGTGTGTCACTGAGTGCTTCTGATAGTGATTTTTTGAGATTCTTGGAAGAAACTGCGGAAGAGTTAACGGTTAAAGGAGAATGTATAATAGTAGATTTTAATATAGATTTTAAGATAGATTCATAATACACAAAAAAATTACGAACGATAATATCTAACCTAGGTATGAAACAACTGGTTATAGTCCGACGAGAATTATGGACAGTCAATATTAGACTTAGTCTTTGCCAATAACATGACATAAATACACGTGGTTCACGAACATAAAATAACGGACCATGCATGGATTAAAATTGCATTAAGAGAAGAAAAATGTAGAATAATTACTAAATGGAAATTATGATAAATTTAGCGTTAACGAACTTAGTTTATCAGTGGAGGCAAATATAAAGCAAACTCTAGTTCATGAAATCAACGAGCATGGAAATTTGTGTAATGTGTAGTCCATGCGATGGATAATATAGCGCCAAGAAAATAATTTCGAATTCATAAAGTTTGAAAAAGAAAAGCGTGGTTCTCAGAGAAGATTGGGGAAGCAGCAACCAGAAGAGATAACCTAAATAAATTCATTCAAAATCATTTTCTCTTTGTCTCTTTCTCTTTCTTCGTCTCTTTCTCTTTCTTCGTCTCTTTCTCTTTCTTCGTCTCTTTCTCTTTCTTCGTCTCTTCCTCTTTCTTTGACTCTTCCTCTTTCTTTGTCTCTATCTCTTTCTTCTCTTTCTCTTTATTTCTCTTTTTTTCTCTCTTCCTCTCTCCTCTTTTTTCTCTTGCCCTCATTCTTTCTCTCTTCCTCTCTCTTTTTCTCTTTGTCTCTTACCTTCTCTCCCTCTTCCCTTCTCTCTTTCCCTTTTTCTCCCCTTCTCTCTCCCTTTCTTCCTGTTCCCTTCTATCTCTTACTTTCTCTCTCTCTCGTTAGCTCACTCGCACATAAACATGGTAAAAAGGGGACAATTTACTTACAATTCACATCCATGACTCTGGGGACGTTTGTCCTTTTGTCCATGCACGGAAATGGGAAACCCGTAAGCTGAGAGAAGCATCAGTTTCATCAATAGGGGGAACGGGGTCTTGTGTCGTAAAAAGCTGCGCAAAAGCCTTCCAATGCTGGGACTTGTTTTCGATTCTCAGATAGTCCTTATGTTATTTGTGGTGGAGTGATCACAAAGTAGGGTTCTCCCTGTCTTCTGCCTTTCAATTCGCCATTTCTCTGCCATTCACCTCATCGTGAACGCGATAATTGCATAAGATCATTCATGGTTCTCGTTGATTTAAACTGACGACTCCGCTGCACAACATTAGTTCTTTGTTAACGAATAGTTTTGGAAAGTTTGTCTCCGATAAACTATGACTCGGCGAAACGGTTCCTCGATGACCTCATATGCGGCTTTTCGAGGACATAAATTAAAATTGAACGAGTTTTCGTTAAAACATATATTATTTGTATTAATATATTACAACTATATTAATTTCGATTGTGTTACAGCCCGGAGTCGCGGGAGGTATTAGACCAGATGTTGTCAGTGGCTGGAATGGCTGAAGCTGCTTCGAAGAAAATGTCAACTGAAGGTACCAAAGGTGGCCGCCTACTTTGTCTGGATGGTGGAGGAATAAGAGGTCTTGTGCTAATACAACTTTTGCTGGAACTGGAGAAGGAAACGGCGTGTCCAATTGTGCACTGTTTTGATTGGCTAGCAGGCACAAGTACTGGGGGAATTCTTGCTCTCGGATTAGCATCAGGTAATGATGTTTGATTGGCCAAGTTGTTAGTCTTTACATATTTCGCCATTAAATATTAATTGTGAAGTATCACTCTGCATAACTGTTAATATAGTTTGCTTCTCGCCTTTGACATAACAATAAAGATAGTTTTCGTGCAATTCATTACTTACATGTATTTTTTTTTCTCAAATTAGGTAAAACCTTGAAGGAATGCCTTTGTTTGTATTTCCGTCTGAAAGATATTGCTTTTATTGGAGGTCGCCCGTATAGTAGTGAACCTCTGGAAAACATTCTAAAGGAAACTCTGGGCACAGATACAGTAATGGCAGACATAAAACATCCAAAGTAAGCAATTATATCGATAAAATGTTTCTAAATATATTTACAGCGTGTTTCAATCTTGTGGATCTGCTCTTGTGCCTGCGTTCTGTCGAATATGTCATAAGTACAAGGCTTATGCTTTGTTGTACAGAAATCCAATAAATAGAAAATTTCATGTTGAAATGATGGAAGGTCTAATCTGTCTAAAGCCACGCTAATGAGTAAATATGCAACTTTATATACCACTATAAATATACAGGTGCATAGAACGCACAGGATTGTTGTTGAATATGTTGGCGAGGTCGCCTGAAATGCCCATACATATATCAATAATTGTAATGCAGGACGAATCATTTTCTTCGGGTGTGTCTCAACAGATCACTACCAAAAATCCACATGTAATACACTAATAATATTTAAAACACTTTGTTCTATGACATTAGACAATATTAAAATTGATACACAAGTTAAAATGACTTCTAAAATAGTTTCTGCTTCACAACTATTTTGTAACATACATTTTTTTGCATTATATTGATGCATTAGTTGCATATTGTATAACTAGTGGTAACCCGTAATGACGGAACGATATCTGACTCTCATATTAACCAATCATTATAATTAATACTAGGGCACAATTTAATTTCTTAATTGAAAGTTTCTTTTCTATACATCCCCTATTATAAAATTCTTCGTATCTATTTTGCCACTTCTCAATAAATTGAGAAACAGCCTCCCTTACAGAAACATGTAAACATCTCTCCTTGCTATGTATATTGTAAACAAAGTATTGTAGTGCTGTGACAGAAATAGGTGACTTTTTTTACTGAAAACGCGTATTGTGGGGCCCGAATATTGACAAATTGGGTAAATTTTATTCCTCTACATAGTGAGCTCGTGTTTTGTGGAACCTTAATACCAAACAATGCATTGTAGTATCCACTGTGCAGTACCTTGTTGGAATCCACTTTAATCCACCATGTCTGGTCAACGCTAGCGTGTGAACCGTCTGTCAGTAGTCAACCTAAACCGTTCAGGCGCCAAACCATTTCTCTAAAATTGATATTCACCGATCGATCTGATCGCCCTGTGAGTAATAATGGATATTTCGATTTCGGGGGTACTTTTTATGAAGTATCAACATTTTCAAAATGTTCTTTAAAATTGCTCCAAAACAACCTACGGCCTTTTATCACCCTCCTTCGAAAGACTTCACACTTGCTTTCACTCTCAGCTGTTGACTGAGCTCGTGAGTCTGAAGTATTGGACACATGAGGTGACGTGAAAGCGACATGCTCTGGAATGTGATCTTTCAAAATATCTCAGGACACTTCAAAGAGGAGTTCATAATTCATGTTCATTTCGTATTCGTTTCAGGTTATTGATAACAGGTGTTTTAGCTGATCGTAAGCCTGTGGCCCTACATTTATTCAGAAATTATGAATCTCCTGCTGCACTGCTGAAAGTGGATACAGCTGCTACATTCAAGCCCCCACCAAAGCCTCACGAACAACTAATTTGGCGAGCTGCTAGGGCGACTGGTGCCGCTCCCTCATACTTCAGGTAACGTATATGATTTGTGAAAATTCCATCACCAATGCGCAGAATGTCGACAAAATACGTCGACAGCCGCACCAAGGGAAGAAGTCTTTTAAAGTTATCTCCAAGCATAGCTATCTCTATAGGCGTTTCTTATCGGGAGCTGACCCCCAATATTAATATCTAGTAGTGATGCAAGAGTACATACATTTTCGAATTAGTAATGGTTACGTACTGTAATACCACAATTGCTTTCCATATTAACATGTCTCCGCCAACACTTGTAATACATTACCAATCATAGCACATAGGTACAAAAATTAATTATTTTAAAGCTTATACATCGATACAAATTGCGTTCCTTGCAGACAGAAACATCGCCCAAAAATGAGAAGTTATTAGAGGATTAAATTCTCAAATTTGATAACTTTTCTAAAAAAAATATGTAGGGCGTTAACGGGTTAAAGAAAATGAAAAGTTGCTGATAAGTAAAAATAAATTGCTAATTAAAGAAACGACAATTGAATCTTAACTGTGAAATAGTTAAATTATTTTTTTACATTTAGAGATTTCAAGCTTTAATTCTACACCAACTAAAAGTATTTTGAATGAAAATTCACGAAGATAAGGCCATATTAAATTTGTTTAATGGTTTTTCATATTACAATATCCGTATCCCCACAATAGTGGCACACTTTTTGAGTCAAAGAAGTAGTGTTTTGTGATCACAAATTATTAGGTAATTTAGTGGGCACCACTTCAGCGTAAGATGACACCACTCAATATGGTCGGAGACTGCATTGTTTTCCTTTAATTTCCACACGCATTGGAAATAAGTATTATTAATATGTAAGTGTTTTTAAGAGCATTCAGAAAATTAAAAGTTACGCGATATCAGCAAAATAATTCAGTTATTGAAGGTACAAAGAGAATGAAACTACAAAACAGTGAAAACAATACTTCGTCGTTTTATTGTTCACAAAATATGTGCCATGAAAATTCTATGCCGCATCGAAAGACTAAATGTATCTTTGGCTTTCGTTTTTTAAAAAATAATATTGCCAGTTTAATATACATAATTAACTTTCGGTTTATTTCCTAACTATGGATGCCCTACATGGTTATGTTAAATGTTTTTGGTTGCTTCCCCCCTCCCTTCCTCGCGAATAGGCTGGCTTGGACCACGCGTGCATGAACCATTTACCGGGGTTCAGAATCATTAGCTCGGTGGCAGGTGCGTGTAATTTTATCATGAGATCAGCATTTAGCTTGATTCGATTTTTATCCTCCAGGGTTATTAGCCCTGGTTGAAGAAGGTGAAGTGATGATGATAGAGAGGGATGAAAGGACAACACACACATACAGACGTACACAACACCCTGATGCCCGAGGCGGGACTCGAATCCGCGATCTTCTGGTCCGAGACCGCTACGGCACTACTGCCTTCTCGGCCATCTTATCGCCTGATTATGGTTTATTTTAATAATTTAAATTGTTTTTTGAAACTATAGAGAATGGTCGGAGATATGATTATACGATGGAGATCATATCATTTGAGATCGACTTTCTGCTATTTTATGGTGGTCTGAATCTGTCTTTAGGGAAGCGTGTATTTATACGTAAGTTCGGTTCTGCTGTGCGTCCAAGATTGAAAGGCGCTGGGAGATGTGAAGAGTGATAAAAAGAAGTCTTCGAACAGTTTGGTTATGCGTTCTTTCAATGTAGGAATTTGCAGTTCGTGGTGGATTTGCTTGTTTGAAATGAGCCATGGGACTTTAATGATAATTCTTAGCGCTTTGTATTGTACGAGTGTAGTTTGTAGAAAGGTTATATTAGATTTGGCTGCATTTCCCCATGTCGGACGTATTTCATTGTTTGCAGTATTACGTTAATAAGTATTATAGTAAGAAAACTAGTTGGTAGTAATTACAGTCTTGTAAGTTAGCATCTTGGTCTCTATTTTATGGGAGAATGTTTTGTTAATTAGTAAAGTTAGGATATTTTTTCGATTTGAAGCGGTATTCACTTTTACTATACAGTAGCACATACAGTGTATAGAGCAATATACAACAAAATATTACGCCCGCCCGCTCACCCGCTCACCCGCTCGCCCGTCCGCTTCGCGTACGTCCGTTTGCGATGAATTTGGCAGCAGTTTTTTTTAACAAATTGCTCCTCAGAATTCCCAGTGATATGTGTTATATATCATTTAATATCATCTAATCCCTAAAACAATTTACTGCGTATTGAATAAAAGAAAAACGATGAAACGCTATCGGAACTGTAATCGTACAACGCAAGGAAACTCAAGAGTGAATTTTCGTAATTATTTTGATGTCAATTTCACATATTCTAATTACTGTATTGATATTATTACCCAAGCGAATGATAGTTTTGACAGCGCTGCGCTGGTAGCAGTGCGTTGCTCGCGTCTTGGTTGAATTGCACTTTTCTAATACAAGCTGAGGTTTTAGTGGCGCAGAAAATGCAAGTTCTTCAATATTACGTAGCTGTTTCCAGTAACGCGATAAAGTATGTGCTGTTGTAGCTCCACTGGTTTCAATTTCTAATCACACACGTACCTTCACATGAGTATCTACGCACACGCGCGCACGCCAACGCCGTGGAACCGTTAAGGTCTAGCAAGCCAGATTCTGAGTCCGGCAGTGGTGCTTTGAAGGATTGAGTGAGAGACCGCAAGGCTCACAAGTTCGCAAAGATTAGTATTAATTTTGGTGAAGTTGATGAATCTGATGAAGTACGTGAGTCATTGTATTATTTATTTTTTGAAGTTTTTGGGTGTTGTCTTTTGTCTTGACGAGTAGGATGAAAACTAGTTTGAATCGAAAAATACTTGTCGATTTCACTTACATTGTTTTTACTTTCTCGTATACGTACTTGTATATATACGGAGTAATATATGTAGTATAAAGAAAGGTATGTAATACTGGGAAATTTGAAAAAGACATGTGCAAAAAGTCAATGGAATTTCTGATTTAAAACTAGCAGATGCTACAAAGATTGCTCAAAATCAACTCTTGAGTTATAAGTATTTTTGCCAAACTTTCGTGGACGTGAACAAAAACTTTCTGTAAGAATTAATAGCATATTGGCAATGTTTCACCATAGACAATTTAAACAATAATTTCAACAAAAATAAACTTGTAACTCAATACCACAGTTGTCTAACGTACTATGATAAAATCAGGACTTTATCACCATACCGTAGATTAGGACACGCATATGCTGATTCAGCTATCGTAATTAAAGTTTATGGAGGATCTTTATGAACATAATACAGTATGAGCATAATTTTCATTCAACTATTTTGGATTGTTGGTCGAAGAAAATACAATATCGTAGTCAGCTCTCAGCCAGTCCGTGTATTTCATTCAAATCTGCCGCAACAGGCGGGTGGGCGGCGGCGGTCTGGCTCCTGGCGGCCCACTGCGTGACATCAGCTGGCCTTACCGGTGGGCGCTCAAGTTCACAATTATTTACTCGGAAGTCTGGAGAGCAATTAAATTAATTTTTCGTTATTATTTAGCAATTAAATCGCTCTACAAGAAGGCTTATTTAAGTTTTACGGTAACCCATTGTGGTGTTAAGTGCTAGTTTACTTTTAATTACTCAGTTTGAAGCAATTATTTTTTGCGTACTTTATTAGCAATTAAATAGTTTTAAATGGTGAAATATTTGGTTTTGTGGTAACCAATTTTGGTAGTGTTAACTTAAGAGAGGTCACGAACAGTGCTGACCGCCCTTTGTCTGCCAGTCCCGATGGGCAGATTTCACTGCTTGCCGTAAAACATTGCGCTAGCAGCTGGTTCGAAATTGATTTTTTAAGAATTATTAATATTTAGGACAAAAATATTTGTGAGTGCAGTAGTTTCTGCCCTCCCGTGCAACATTCCCTTGAATTTGAGATCATTTCTAAATCAGTTTCTAGTTTCGGCAATTTATTGCAGCTTGCATCCTCCGTCCTAACTGCGTACCAGCCAAGGGCCTCCTTCTATTTTCACTTTCTCGCCTTTCGTAGGAAAACAAAGATTTGTAATCGTGCACCGGAAAAGGCGAATATTCGGCAAAAAACTCTTATTGTCGGGCCCTGGTAACGAAAGTGGATATTCCTATGTACAATGGCGGCTCATGGGGGTAGGCTGTTGGACTGCAGCCCTCCAGCCTCCCCATTTTATTCAGTTGTCATTGAGTGAAATAGTAACTTTCTTTAATCTAGTCTCGCGTTCTATTACGTGTCCCTTCCTGGCTCACCACGTGACTGGCGAGAACTTAAAGCGGCCCCTACCCCGTGGACTGCCAGGAGATCGTGGCCACCGTCCCAGCCAAGAACACCGATTCCACTGCTCCCTCTGCCGCTCTTCCGCCGCTGCCGGCCGCCGCGGGACCATCCAGTGCAGATCAGCGCAGTTTTTTGTAGTTATTTTGCTATACGAGTTTGTCGCGGAAAGAATATTTTATTTTAACACTGAAGTCAGTTTGCCAATTCGTGGATGTGAATGAGAAGGAAAAAGGACTAATTCAGTACATCTAAATCAGTTCGTTTCCTCTTCCTAACATTTCAAAAAAATGTGAAATAAAAGTCCGTGGAAGACCAACACCATTGTTGGATGTCACTCAGAATGCATCAAGTCGGCAAAACGAATATATCAGGTGTTTCAATCCTCAAATTTACAAGAAGTATGAGTGGTTATGTGGTTGTGAGAGACGCAATTCACTTTTCTGCTTCCCATACCTTATATTTTAGATTAAAGATGATACAGCAACTTCGCATGGATCAAGAAAGGTGTGACAGATTTAAAAGGACTTTATGAAAAGTTTCACAAACATTAAATTTCGCATGTTAATAACATGCTAAATTTTGCTGCGCGCGGTTTCTTCAATGTACAGGCATGTTTAAGCCAAGCTTATAAGGAGTCAGTTGATCGTCACAATAATCAAGTTCAAACAATTGGGACACTATTTCTGAAATCATAAACTGTGTGACGTTTTGTGGGTTTGATGAGATGGCCCTGAGAGAAACACGAAAGGTCACAGTACCAAGGAGTTTTCACGAGGATAATGAAATATACTGCTGAAATTTGACTCTTTACTCAAATCTCACCTTGAGAGTAACACGTTCTTTAAAGGCACATTGAAGACAATTCAAAACGAATTACTCCAATGTATGCTTGAAATCAGAAGGCAAAATATATTGGAAGAAATTCAAACAGCGGATTACTTGTCTGTTATGGCAGGTGAGTCTACAGACATTAGTGATAAGCATAGTGTTTCAGCTTGTTATCGCCTTACGGTACTGTCCTAAAGGCTGTCCAGTTGAGAGATAATGGGGATTTTTAATCCAAATGTCCAAAATTCCAATTGTATTACAGAATGTATTATTTCTGAGCTTGGAAAGATTTTAAAAGAAAAGCATAGGCTTATAGGCCAAAGATTCGGTGGTTCATATTTAATCTCTGAATGGAGTTCAGGCTAAAGTTAGAGAAGTGTACCCTAATGCGCATTTTGTGCATTGCTTTCCGCATCAGTTAAATTTGACCGTGGAGAGAGTTGCCAGACAAAACACGAAAGCAAGAATATATTTTTTCAAATTTCTGAGCTATTCCTGCTTTTTTTCTCGTTCACCGCATAGATCAGCAGTCCTGAATGCATACTTTAATAAGCTAATACCCACGGGTAGTTGAACGAGATGAAATTTTAAGTCCAGGACTGTGAACGCTGTACATGAAAAACAACTGAAAGAATGCTTTCAGATTTTGTGTGAATCAAAGACTTGAAGCTGTGCAACAGTAAATGAAGCAACTGCATTAGTGGGGCACCTTCAAAATTCTGGATTTTGTTTCTGGCTTAAAATTTCTGTCATAAAATAATGCCACATGCAGATATCGTGTACAATCAGGTTCAGAGCCGTGACATTGATGCCGCCATAGCCCAGGAAAATCTGTCTACATTCGCTTCAGAAGTTAAGAAAGTAAGGGACCTGGTAGAACCTTGTGGAATTGAAACAGAAAATGCCCCCAAGAGGATCAAGTTTTCACAGACACGGACAAGATCAATTGCAGCCAAGGGAATACGTATTGTCATTCTGTTCCAGATTAATACACGTTTTTAGTTTACGAATCATCTTCGTGTATCATCATTGCTACAAGAACTCAAGTTTGTAGAATATAATACAAACCTCCTAGAAATTTTGTTCAATGAATATTTCCCATATATCCCAATAATAACTATTTATCATATTTTATACAAATTTCGTACAGAACATTCGGTCATCTATTCAAGAGAAGAGTTCTGAAGTGTTGGCGGTGATGTAAAGTTTCTGGAATTTCTTCAAGTTAATAATCTTTCCCCTTTTTCTGAGGTGATAAAACTTTTAAAAATAGCCATCACCCTGCCTCTGACAACTTGTGAATCTGAACCTTGCTTTTCAACACTGAATACAATTAAAACATTTCTGAGGAATTCTATGGGAGAAGATAGATTAAGTGCCCTTGCCGTGTTGTCCATAGAAAAGAAAATGATAAAAAACATCCCACAATTCAACCAATGGGTAACTGACATTTATGCTGCAATGAAAGATAGTCGTATGGATTTCAACTTGAATTAGGTAAGGTAAGGTTGTTTTCAAACAGCCCTCCCAAACGAGAGAAGCTTGAGCCACCACTGCGAATGTATAGTAAATTACTTCCTCTAACACTTTATGTAGTCAGAATCCATTTCTTGGCCCCTTGATATCGAAAAATCTATTGTAGGCAAAACGTCTGTCTGACCAATTGTGGTCAAAGCTAACATCTAAACAGTTCAGCCGATTTTCTCCAAAATTGAAACTCCTCGAGCGATTTGAATGAACTCGAGGTACGCGGAATTTCAAACAGATGTATTGATTGCTGATTACTTTACATGAATGCTCAACATTTTGTGCTATTGTTTCTCCAAAATGGCTACAATTTGTTTGGTGCAGGTCTCGTTTTCGTTAAAATGTCTCAAATTGTCAAAAATATGAGTAGTTTAAAGTATGCGTAATTTTGTATGGAATATAGGCAATTTTTTTAAACCATTACTTTCACAAAAACGGCATCTTTTCTTTAAATTTGCTAATTTTATATATCAAAGTACGGTAAAAAATTATGCTAATCTCATATCCGGCGAATTCTGTATTTTCAAAAATCGCTAAAAGTTAGCATTTCAAAGTAGCAAGTTGAAGGTAAGAGATTTTTACCTTTAACGTTCTAAAAGAGGCCTCGTACTTTTTTTTTAAAAAACTTGTTGGTTTCGCATAATTTTTATTTGAAATTAATGCAATTTATAAGAAACTCATTTTATTGAAAACCTCTCCCCATTTTTCATTCCTTTTTCTCTTCGTATGTAACAAAAGATGTAAAAAACTTGGCGCTAGTCTAATTTTCGTTCAACTTTTTGAATTCTCGAAAATTGTAAATTTAGAAATAATGCGAGAATGTATGTGATGTTGTAGCACCACTAATTAAACAGTTATTTTCTTAAAAACAGTTCCAAATGTTTTCTTAAAATTTTATCCTCGTATGTATCAAAGAAGGGTAAAAGAGGATGCTGGTCCCATTTCTGGCACTCTGTATTTTCGAATACAAAAAAAATTAACATTGCGTCAGTTCAATATTAATGATGGGACTTTTTCTTAAAAAAGTTACGTCTTAAAATAAAGGTCATGTATTTTTTGTTGAAAGAACGAGAGGATTTTTGCTTTGTACTTTCTGCTAGAAATTAAAGGTATTTATAAAAACATGTTCAAAAAAGTGTTTAAATTTCTTCTTATAAAGCAGAGGACCTTAAAAACTGGCACATGTCTTATTTTCGAAGTTTATCTCTCGTAGTTCATACAATGGGAAGATGTCTATGAACCCAACACATACTTCCACCGGCGTCGTGAACGATCTATTTTATATTTAAAATGTATAATTAGTCAAATTGATTGTGCTTTTTACAAATATTGCATTCACCTTCTGGATGAAGGGCTACTATTTCGTTTATTTATTACAAGGGCTGGTTTCCCTTGATCTATTGAGCAAAGACTAAAAGTTCTCCTGCTTTGCTTTTGGAACGTTAATATTTATATAACGTATACTCCCTTATATATAAACGTTTTTAGTTAGATCGCTGGTGAGGTAGATACCTTTTTATTATGATAAATAAATAAAGATATTGTCTGGTATCATTACTTTTTATTCAGCTTATGAACGTTTCCCATCGCATAGCGATCATCCTCAGAGCTAAAATGTGAAATACAAATATTATTAACAGGTTGTAGTTATTGTATGCAAGATGCGGAAGCAAACTGGGTCGTACCTACCTTGCAGCTTCCGGGCCGAAAACACAGTACCTCATAATCCCTTATGTAGAACTCGATAGCCTCCACACTCAATAAATTCGGTCTTAAAACTTCTTTCAATAACACTAATACATTATATAAAACACTATCCAACACTAAAGACCCAATCCCACCTACATCCTTATGCGGAGTCTATGCTCTCACGTGCAACAATTGCAATGCCATATACATAGGACAAACAGGCCGTAAATTCACACAGAGAATCAAAGAACACGAACAAGCACGGAAAAATAACACTACCACTGTCTCACACTTTGCGGATCACCTAAATTTAAACAAACACAATTGATAAACACACAAATTTCCGAATTCTAGAAATTGAAAACAGGTACTGAAACAGAATAAAATTAGAAGCCCTACACATACACAACGTCCTCAAAAAACGAAACATGACATGTCTAAACCAACAAATCCCTGAACTCTCTTCACCTCTGCTAAAATTAGCGCAAAGTGTACACCCCTAACCCACCCCCAGCCCTCCCTACTCCACTGACCTTCGCTCGCCCGACCGTCTCTCAAGCCTCCACCTGCACCCCTGCGTTTTACGACCATTCACCCGCACCCCACCCCTCTTCCCGCCCCCACCCGCTAACGACCGGCTGTGTTCTTAAACAAAACACACACTCAAAACTTCTCAGAACTGTGTTTTCGGCCCGGAAGCTGCAAGGTAGGTACGACCCAGTTTGCTTACGCATCTTGCATACAATAACTACAACCTGTTAAAAATATTTGTATTTCACATTTTAGCTCTGAGGATGATCGCTATGCGATCAAACGATCATAAGCTGAATAAAAAGCTTTGATACCAGACAATATCTTCATTTATTTATCATATAAACGTTTACTTCCTCCATACGTCATGTAAAGGGTATATTGGTTTTACATTTAATAATTGTGGAAGATTTGCATTGTTATATTCGGAAGTGTGACACGATTTTGTTTTCTGATTTTGCCATTTCTGTGTCAGACGCAGAGCCTTGGGCAATGGATCTGATAAGACTAGATTTAGATTTATTTAGTGAAAAAATAGTAAAAACTGTATGTGACGTATGGGGAAGAAAATTATTTGATTCATAATCATATCGTATATGGAATTACCTAGCAAATTTTATTTTTATCTAATTTGTTCAATTTTATCATTACTTTTTTCTTTCACAATATTTTTGCGCATTAATTTATTTAAAATTGACAACAACTTTGTAGAAGATTCTGAGAAAATGTATTGTTTTTCGGGGAGAGTGAAGATTTTCTTCATCATTCACAGATGACTTCCTGAATTAATGTAACACTGTTTTGTTTTCAGAGCATTTGGTCGCTTTCTGGACGGCGGATTGATAGCCAATAACCCTACTTTAGACGCCTTAACAGAAATCCATGAATATAATTTGGCTCTTGAGGCTTGTGGACGAAGTCGTGAAGCACGTGCTCCTACAGTAGTTGTTTCATTGGGTACTGGAATGATTCCTGTGAGTCAGGTATGTTAATTAATGGTATTTTGTTACGTGCATCATCAGATATTATGCCTCAAATAATCGTATATCGCATGGCGCGAGTTGCGGGAAGATGGCACTGTTGTCCTAATTTCGCAGCTATAATTATCACGTGGCCTTCACGATTTGATGATAATGATGATGGAAGTGGTAGGAAAATAGCAATGAAATCGCCGGGGGAATGAAAAGCAGAGGGAAATGGAAAACTAGGAGAATATTTCTCGTCGAGGTGGGTGGTTGCACGTCATTACGCAGGAATGTGTGGAAAGTTAAGACTTCAACGTGAAAACCTTTGATATTGGATGGGTTTTACTGTTTAGAAAAAACGCGTGTAAACGTTCTATCATTAGTGTTGTTTAAATTATAACTTTCTGGTTCTTCAAAATAGACGCATTCCTCCGTATTTCAGTGGAATTTCTAGTTTGACACTTAGTAAAGGACTATTCCCCATTAGGCTCAGACAGTGCTACGAGTGTCCAGCCTATCCTGCGCCAAAAATCATCACTAGAAGAATCACATGTCGACGAACAGGAATAAATGAAATTGTAATTTCTGAGCAAACATATCACATTGTGTTCTACTTGTTTGTCAGCTGAGATACGCTTTGCACAAAATTTTGCTGACTGATTTGTTGTCCCTGCAGTGACAAATAAAATATATTATTTTCTTTCTGATATTACAATTCTATACGTCTCATAATTGAAGCTAATTAAATTAAAGTATTATAATGTAAATTAACTATATTGATACTTGTACATGATACAGGATGTGATTTTTCTTCTTTTTTTTTACAGTTACGAGAAATTGATGTATTTCGTCCTGAAAGTCTTTGGGACACTGCAAGATTAGCTATTGGAATATCGGCCCTTGGAACGCTTTTGGTTGATCAGGTATTTAAACAGAACAGTCCTTTGAATTGCACAGACAAATCTTCTAAATGTACCAGCAAAGGTGGCTCAGAGCATCAACTGATGTCACTGCAGTGCCTCTGACCAGGAGGTCCTTGGTTCGAGTCCCGATGATGTAGGGATTTTCATCACTAGCTAAATAGATGGGTCGAATTCAGTCACTATCTGGAGGAGAATTCTGGCGATCGGCTGCTACGATCGGTATTTTTCCATGGTTTCCTCGATCAACACCAGGCGATTACCGGAGCAGTACCCTAACAAATGGGCCACGGACCGTGCGCGATCATTCCTTCCCCTTCCTTACATTTACATATACATTGATATTCCCCGATCGAATTAAAGGAGCTCAAAGCCCAGCGAATTTGAAACGGATATTATGATTTTTGAAGGTACTTTTTATGAAGCCTCAACATTTTAAAAAATTTCTAAAAAGGCTTAAAATATATTATTAAACGTCGTCCTCAGATGGCGTATTGAACGCTTAAAAATGTCACAGGTCTCATTTTCGTTGAAATTTCTGAATTTTCGAAAATTTGAAAAGTTAATAAAAATATTTGCCGTCTTCCAACAAGTATAATATTGAAGATAGAGATTTTTTCTCAATGAAATATGTTCGTTGAACACAACCTTTAAATAAGATCATGTACAATTTTTCGAAAATATGAGTCGTTGCGCATACTTTGCGTGAAATATCCACAATTTTAAACAAGTATTTTCTCAAATCGGGCTCAATTTTTTTTCTTCAAATTTTCTTCGCCTACGTATCTGAGAACGGTAAGAAAGTGATGCTACTCCGAATTCCAGTGAGCTCTCTATATTTTCGAAAATTGCAAAAACCTAACATTGTAAAAGTAAAATGTTGATGATAGACATTTTTTCTCAAATGAAGTCTATCCTAAAACTTAGATCTTTACATAAGGGGATACCTTTTTTTAAGAGTAATTTTCGCTGAATTTGTGCTTTAAGTTAGTGCAATTTATAGAAAAAAAATCTCAAACTGCTCCAATTTTTTTCTTTTTTTCACTTGCATAGAGTAAAGGACGCGTAAAAGTGGCTCAGGCCACATGTACGTTCAAATTTGTGAATTTACGAAAATTGCACAAGTTAGAAATAATGCGAGAAAGTGTGTGCTATTGTAGCACACTTGTTATAATTAAATTAAATGTTCTGAAGTTTTTGCTGCGATTCAATGCCCCTTGTGACTTATTCCTTCCCTCAGTTTAGCATGCAGAATAGGCAGAGTTGTAAGCTGACGATTTCCTCGGAGTTTAGCCGGGCAGATATGTTTGTGACGTCGAGGATATGTTAAGAGAGTTGATAGATTCAGAAGTCGAATTCAAGTATCTATTGCACAATAAACTTCTGTTGCGACACGATATTTCGTTCCACCCCTAGCGCACTGTGACACCGTACCGTTCCGTTCCACCCGTTCCGAACATTTAGTCAAGACTAATAGCGTTTTCCATTCGCCGCACTGGCGCGCACTGGTCCGAACACCGCGGCTGGCAGCAGAGCATTGGTTTAAATGGGGCGCATCCCACGTGCGGCGGATTCGCGCTGCTGTGTCTTTCGGCAGCGGACGCTCGCCACGAGCAGCCCAGGACGGCGCCCGCGTCACTGCTAACAAAACATTAGTTTAAATGGAAGTTGGTCCCATTGTTCGTCGTCGTCGGAGGGCCGGCGAAACCTACCCTTTCAGAACCCACCCCCTTCCACGGCGGTCGAGCGGTGGCGTGCAGCGGTAGCGGCGTGGGAAGAGCCTTGCCGCTTATCGAAAGCGCGCCGCTGTGGCGACGTGTGAAGGCCCTAAGGCGTGTCTAAGGGATTAGTAAGAATCGGCGCAGAATGCAGGGTTACCAGACGTGTTGCGAGCTCTTTCCATACCACTACTACGGAATTTCCCCAAATAACCTCTCCAGTGAAACAAAATTCTCCAACTTTGAAACGAAAAATATTCTCCAAATCACGGACCAACGACATGAGCTGTCTCCGACGATTCCATTGGCTGTCCCCTTAAATTCAAATAATCCAGATCAATCAATCATCATCCTTTGAACTGCTCGAAACGCCATATCTTCGTTTTTCTCACGTTTTTCTTTCTCTGAGTCTATCGTTTATTTTTCTCTCTTTGGTACATAAAAATGAGAGAGAATATCGTCTATTGTTTCTTTTTTTCATAATAATTCAGAGAATCATATTTCTATCGCGATTCTGGATGAAAATAGTTTCCCCAAAAAATCCTTAAACATTTCCCTGTCCATTTATGTTCCCTATTATTTCCCTAGAACGTAAAATATCCCCATTTTGTCGACAAAATTTCCCAATCTGGCAACCCTGGCTGAATAAGTCCCTCATTCGCTGTCTATTAGAACAAGCCCTGATCGGATTTCGATCTGAATTCCATGAAAGGAGAATTGACGAAATGTAATCGAATTTGGTCGGGATTTTGTGAAATGGAAACTGACTAAAACTTATTTGTGATCGGAATTTCCTGGTTAGAAAACCCGATCAGACTATAATAGCAGTGAACGTTACATTCGTGTTGGAGCGCTATAATACACAACACTTATTTATAATTAAATGGAATGTTTTATGTCGTGTTTTGTTTAATTACATTTTTTCTTTCAGGCTACAGCAAGTGATGGTCGCGTTGTTGATCGTGCACGTGCGTGGTGCTCTATGATCGGAGTTCCATACTACAGATTTTCACCGCAAATGTCTGAAGAAATTGGAATGGATGAAAAGAGTGATGAAAAACTTGTTAATATGATGTGGGAATCGAAAGCATATATGCATTCGCATCGATGTATTCTTCAAGAACTGGCGACTCTCTTAACGAGTCATTCCAGTCGTTAGTTCTACCGCTAAAAGTAACACCTAAAATTAAAACAAAAATAGTATTACTCCAGTGAGATTTGTTCTTCTGTTCTGTAATGGTAAACATATAAATTTGTTATTTATCTTAAGGATATACATATCTCAAAAGTTTGTAACCCCAAATGTAGATAGCATTTTCAATGTGATAAAATGTCCGACATTTTTGTAATGTAATATGACCCTTATGTTATTACCTACAATGTAAATAAAATCATCGTGGATATATCATGAATTATTATTGGCAACATTTCAATTATATTGAAGAAAAGAGACCCCCCCAAATCTCTCTCAAAGAGAAAATGCCGATCCTGTGGCCTAGATTGCTACGGCAGTAGTGGCGTAGCGATCTCGAATCGAAAGATCGCAGGTTCGAGGCCCGCCCCGGCTATGGTTGAATTTGTGTTCGTCCTTTCAACCCCCATCACCACCATTTCATCAAGTTCACAGTTGATAACGTTAATAATGTAAACCAGTGATGATGATGATGATAATAATAATAATAATAATGTTAACCAATAGTGGTCGCTAATGACCTAGATGCTGATAACAAAAAAAAAAAGATTTAACGACGACCTAAGTTGAATAAAGTGTTTCTCGCTACAGTTTTAACGCTGGGGAAAACATTTCCCTTTCGATTGCGCAGTTTATCATCGGTAATACCACGAGTGCTTTGGAAATAGTCGATAAATCCCAGACTCACGAAGTGAGGAGGGCATTTATCTGAGAATTTCCTAAGTACGAATGATATTTAATAGGACTATTCCACGAGTGAAATTATGTTCAACCGAGTTCCAAAATGCGCCAAATATTGAAAATATGTTCAAATCCACGAAGTTATGATCTAATACATACACGGTTTACTGGACATCGACATTGCGATTGATACCACCTCCTAAGATAGATGAGTCATAGTTAATGATTGAACAAAAGGGAGAAGCGGTAAGAAAAATCGGAAATAAAAAGCGATAAACATTTTGAGATACACAGACGTGATTGGGGTTTGTATGTATAGTTAAACCCTATTAGTTTTAATTTCACGAGTGGATTAGTCACCTAAAAGTTTATTGTAGAAGTAAAATTTTGCTGTAAAAGGAAAACATTTTATTGTGTAAAATCGAATTCACATTCCATGCCAGATCAGCGAGAATGGGTAAAAATGTAAGATTATTTTTTAAACTAGTGGAGCCACAACAACACATACTTTCTGGCGATATTATTAATGGTATGTATTTATACAGAAATATAAAATGACAATTTCTGTCTTACACTTCAACCACCGTATGGAAAATTCTTAAACGCCCGAAGCGTGAGAAAAAAAATATTTTTTTTTTTCAAATTCAAACGTTCAAATGAAAACAGCTTTCTGTCATTGAATTCAGTGTATTCATGTTCTACATAAATGTACCAGCGATGCGCGATGCGTACTTTAGCCGTAAATAAAATAATTAGTTTATTTTAACGCGAACTAACGGCGGCCGTTTTTATCGTCTTCTGAAATCAGTGCGGTCCAAGAGGTTGCAACAAACAACAATGGTCGCTGATTCGTATGGCTTACACATTTTGAAAATCTTCTTAATATGGTAAAGGAAATAATCGTCCACGAAAGGTTTAATAATTTTTATTAATTATTACCCAGAGTTAACTTTAGGAAAACACTTTTCCCATCCTCATTGGGTCTCTAACAAGGAGAAAATTGAAACATTAAAACAAGTGGAACAAAAGAATACAGTGAATTTAGTGGAAAAAACAAACAAAAAATATCAAATAATTAAAATTGAAAATACTTACTGCCCAAGCAACGTGAATCACTCATCAATGTTCACAACATGGTCAAAAAATATGAAAACTGCAAAACCTGCTGGGTACAGCTAGGTGGCAGCCATCTTTAGGAATGGAAGAAGAGGAAGTCCACCAATTGTGGGAAGGGGGGGGCAGAAGAGTAGAGAGGGTAGTCATAAACAGATTTAAAATTTACTGCTTTTCATACAGGAACGTAAAACAGGACAGGAATTAGCAATTTGCAAGATTCTAGAATTTTAAATTATATAAAGAACATATAAACAAGTTGACTAGATAAAGAGATTGCAAAAAGTGGAAAAAATATCAGATCAAAAGGATGATTAGGGGCTAGTTAATAAAATATTTAAAATGGGACTGCTTTTAATTAAGGAATGTTCATTCAAGATAGAAAAATTAGTATTTTTGAAAAGTTTTTGAATTTCCAAGTTCTCCAAAATGTTCATTTTTGTGCCTTTCTTGACTAAGTGAAGGATTTTAAAATTATAATTAGGGTCAAAGGAATGGTTAAATTGAATCAAATGATTGGCAAAGGTAGAAGTGTCTAAATTATGTTTCCAACATCTAATATGCTCATTAATTCTAACTGTAAATTTTCTGCCTGTTTGGCCTACATATGCTGAATTAAAGTTAATACAAGTTAGGCCACTTTCTTCAATGGGGGGGATAGGTGATATGGAAAAAGTAGGCTACTGAAATATTGTAGTTAGTGAAACTTTGGCCTATATGTTTAGATACTGGACCTATGTAGGGGATGCAAATAAATTTCTTTGGTTCTACAGGGCAATGTTGAGGAAAGACCTTATTAGAAATAATTTTTACACCTTTTTGGTGGATAAGTTTATTGACTGTCAGAGGATCATAACCATTATTTAATGCAATGTTTAGAATGGCATTGACTTCATTGTTAAAATCTATATCAGTCATATTAACCTGGAATAGTCTGTTGATCCAGGAGTGGAAAACAGCAAATTTATGATGGTGAATGTGATTAGAATGGGAAGGTATGATGATATTTGTATGGGTAGGTTTTCTGAATATTTTTAAATTTGTGTTTAGAGTTTATAATGGTTAAATCAAGGAAATTCAGGGAATGGTTCATTACCATATTATGGATTACCACAAGAAATATGCTACCACCATGGAATTTAATCAGCATTCTTTATACCGCCAGCAATAATACACACATGGATAGAAAAATATAATAATTAAATGTATTGTTATATTCATCAACCAACTCGTTTTTACACGAATTACCCTTCGCTCCTACATCTTCTTATGCAAAGCGAAATTACCCATTCGTTATCACATTTAACTCAAAGAAATGACGCCATTTAACGTAGATTTAGTGCTTAAATATTATTAAATGTAATCTTTCCTTTCAGATTCGAATAACTGCATCCAAGCACTTTTCAAATTACATTGCCATTGAAGTGATCACCGCAAACGACGCGCGAATAATTCGAATTTACCTTTTAGATTTTTTGTTTTATTTTCAAAAATGCAGAGAGCATTGAAAATGGGACCAGCACAACTTCTTATACCGTTCTTTGCTACATACGTGAAAAACATTGCAGCCGTATTTTAGAAAATAATTGTTTAAAAATTGCTTGTTGACTCAAAATTGTGCAAAAATACTCATATTTTCGAAAAAATCGATCATGATCTGATTTGAAGATGTTTCTAATGAACACATTTCATTAAGAAACAAGCTACCTTTGTAATTGTAGTTGTATGAAATCACCTAAAAACTTGATATTTTGCAATTTTCGAAAAATCAGGGATTTCAACAAAAGTGACTCCTGAACCATTGTCTTATTCGTTCTTAATGCTATCTAAAGTCAAAATTTAATCAATAAATTTGGTGCCTTTTTTAAGAAAAAAAACTGTTAAATAAAAATTTCATGTGTTTGACATAAAATTACACACAACTCATATTTTTGAAAAACTGAACATGACTTTATTTGAAGATTTTTAAGGAAAAATTTCATGAAGAAAAAATGATCATTATTGTAGGTGGAAGACGCCGGAAAAGTTTTGAATTTTTGCAATTTTCGAAAACTCAGAGATTTCAACGAAAATTGTATGTGCATCACTCCCTTAAGCGTACCATGAGCTATTCTAGGACAAATCTCATCAAAAAATGTAGTTACGTTTTTAGAAAAAATATACTTTTAACAAAATAAAAAATTGTCTATATTTCAGGCAAAATTACGCAAAACGTACTCAAATTATTGAAACATGGTATATGACCTTTCAAAATCCGTCTTTAAAGAACTAATTTAATTAAGGTAAATGTCTCTATTATATTTTAGCGGTAGGAAGGTGCCAAACAAATGTTGAACTTTCGCAGTTTTAAAAAATCAGACATTTCAACGAAAAACAGATATGTGTAACTCTGTTAAGCGTAATCTTCAAAGTATTACGCTAACCGACGACAAACTGTAATCTAAAAACTTGGTGCATTTTTTTGAAAATGTCCCAGAGGCTTCATGTGAAGAATCGTTCAAAATTAAAATAAGAGATTCAAATTCAAGGGACCGTGACATGAGTCAGATCGATTTAGGAATATCAATTTTGGAGAAAATCGGCGGAACGGTTTACCGCTAATATTGTTCACAGACAGACGTTTTGCCGTCAATCGATTTTTCGGTGTCAAGGACCCACAAAACGTGAATTCTGGCTTCCCCACGTGTTAGAAGAATCTTTTTCTATATTTAGCAACTAGATTTATCCACACACTCTATTGCATAAGGAGTAGCGAGGAAGTAAAAATTACTAACAGTTATTTGTGCGTCAAAAAACGTGCTCTCTGAACTGTAGATTAAAGTTTCTTCATTCAATATATATGTACACAATTACCTACACAGAAGTGCTGGAGGTTTTTGTGAGCATTAGATCGTGCTTATACCCGAGACCAGGGTATGCAGGTATTGGAACGGATCAAATCCACCTCCATCCAACCAGTTGTTCTTATGAATTCAGATCGCCCTATCATTCTGTATTTTGTTACTTTTAGTGGAAATCCGTTTAAGATTATAATTGTGAATGTATGCTTAAGTCCGCGAAATTACCACCGATACCCATAATAAGCGGAATACACGCAACGAAATAAACAAATCAAGGCCGTAAAACCTGTTCTTTCGTACACGTTTTTGCTCTGCAGAATGTTAACGAAAATTCGCAGAGTCCACCGCAACCTTCCGAGTTCCAGTCAAGGAACGCTGTTGGAATTCTTCTTGTGAACATGTAGAGCGCCTGTGTGAGGGCCTGCGCTGCGCCCGTTGCACGCGCGCTCGGTGGGTGGGCGTGGCCCAGATGCCACGCGCGCGCCCTCGATCAAACGTTGCTCGGAACGGATCGAGATGCGTCCGTGCCAGCGGTATTGTCGTTGTTCTCACAGTTCTCAAACAGACGAATAGTGTTTCTTTTACCGGTTTTTCATTAAAGTGAGAAAAGCGTTCAGTTTCTACAGATTTCGTATTTGACTATTGAGGTCTCTCGGTCCCTCTTTTTAGTAAGTAGTATATTTCTCAAGTTATATTCCTTTGTAACAATTTTGATACAGTCGTGGCCGTATCCGTTCTGAATATTTAGAAGGGGACACTATAGTGTTACGTAAAATTATTATGATATTCGTAAATATATTTAAATGTCGTATAATTATAGGAACCGGATACTTATGTAATAACATAGTCCCTCACTTTAATACTAGGTCATCCTAATATATCGTAATTGATATGCAATCTGTTGTTTGCTAACAACAAGATACTGAAACGCGGAAGGTCAGTACATGCACTATCTAACACTCCAAGTGGAATATTGTATCATATTAAATGTTGTGCGAAAGAAAAGTTCTAAGTTCGCAAGTTTGCTCAAAATGTTCATAAATCCTGCTACTTTAATACTCGGTCACCTAGGGAAATAGTTTGTTGATAGGTTGATATGTACTGGAAGAATTAAGAGGCGCTGCTGCTACACATCACTTGACGTTCTGGCGTTAAAACAGTTTGGGTCACTTCTTGTGCGGTGAAAGAACTACGGTGAGCCGAGAAGAACGGAAACTTTATTCGTCCAGAGATAACTTGTGGTGTTCAATCATGAAAAGGGCTATTCTACAATATAAATTGACAATATGGTCAATCTCCCACAAAGCACAGTCCACAACATCGAAGGCGATACGAACACGAGGATACAATATAAAACGTGCCACCAAAGGGTCGTCCACAGGGTCTTACTAGAGAAGAGAGACATGCCTTATTGAGGAATATTAAAAAGAATCTACGATTAAATGCGCCGAAAATTGCTGCTAAGCAGTTAGAAGAATGTGGAAAGAAAGCGCACCCCGAAACTGTGATAGGTCAGGAGCCAGCAAGAGAAACCACTTATGATAAGCTCAAAGCTAACACTTTTTGAGAAGTTAGCCAGTATTCTGTGAAACAGGGAAACGCAAGTATGGCGACCTGTAGGTGTCGGCGTTGCGCTGCACAATTTTTTGAATGTGTCGAAAAAAGTATGCCCTTGGGGAATAAGTACACAGTTAATTCCTGTTCTATATTGTTTGTTATATAGCGAAAGTGTGAAGGAGTTGCATGCCATACCGATATGGTGTCATTTTTATGCTCCCTTGGATTACGAGTTTAAAGATATTTTGTTTGGTCGAATAGTAGAAAATTCGATTTCATTGCCGATTCTGACCACGCCATACCTTTTGGGCGTATCTAAGTAGTCAACACACTCATTCAAAGATGTTCAATTTATTACTATACTATGTACGTACGTACAAGGCAATACGTACAAGTATGGCTCAGGGCCGTTTTAACAGCTTTGGGGGTCCTTGGACCTACGTTAATTTGGGGGGCCCCTATTCTTACTTTCAACGATCTTCCCCTCCCTTATTTCAAGACACGTTTTGTTAAAAAAGTAAACTTCTTATCACTGCGTAACATTCTCGCATCAACCAGCAACATTCCATATTATAAATATTCTCCAATGATGCACGACACACCACTCCATTATGCCAATGTTTTGCGCATAGTTTGATCATACACCACTTTTGAAACATTTTTAGTATTAAATATTTTTTTAAGAACTATCGGGGACCCTGGGACTGGGCCTGGTATGGCAATACGTTTTCAGGGCCCTCGTGGTAAATTTTGATAAATAGATACAATACCATACTGATAAGACGTCATTAAATGGACTTAATACTGAAACACCTATTTTTTCAAAATTTTCATAAAATCGTAGGTTAGCCCTGGAAAATAATTGAATAATCTTAACATCAATAAACTAGTTGGGCTACAGAATGGCACGGACTTTCTCGTATAAGTTTTCTATTTCTTTGGTCTCGGCTAGCTATTCGGACTTGCCACATACTCTTGCCAGCTACCATCTACTGCCGCACCAAGTACCTTCTTTTTTGAAATTTTCTCCATTTTTCGGCTTCCTAATTGTAGAACGGGAATATTATTTTAACAATATTAAAGAACAGTATTACCTTGTCCTAAATGTCAATTTCTTTGAAAAATTTGGAGCCGTTTAAAACAATGGCGCTTAAGCGCTACTGTAAATTCGAAACTTGAAGCCCATTTTCACGGAAAATATTTGCGTCTTTGAAAAAACATCATTAGAAGTCATTTGAAGCATTTTAACTCGCACATACAATAGTGTTTACAAATGGCTGGAAAAGTACATATTAACGGCGTGAGAGATCTTTCAAAAATACATTTGTATAATATAAAAAAATACTCCGATATGAACTTTACGTCATTATAAAGAGTGCAAATAGCACTATCCGTCCGAAAAGTTCGAAGAAACTATTTGGAGCCGTTTTTAAGAAAATGGCGTTTGAACGTTTGAAAATGCAAAAATGGCGACGATTGAGTTTTCGAGAAACTTTATCTGACATTATTTAAAGCACATGTACTCATAAATATAAGAATGTGAACAAATTGCCGCTAGTATAAATATTAAAGACGTAAGAGGCTAGTCATCAGTATTACATTTTTGTTATTCTTGAAAAAACAAAAGAATAGAGCAATATGGCTTTAAATCATTGTATACAGTGCATTTAGCACTATCCTTACCAAACGATTAAAGTAAATATTTGGAGCCTACTTTGAGGAAACCTTGTTTTTTACTTTTTTTAATTGCACTTATTGCTCGCAATATTGTCTGAAAACTACTATTTAAAAAAAATCATGTACATGACCTTAATGAAAGAATTCACTAAGGAAAACATTTTATTTGAAGGAAAAATCACTATCTTCAATTTTGTAGCGCAAGGAAAATGTCTTATTACATAATTATCTGGGTCCTAGTGATAAGGAACACAAACCTTGACATTCGTATAATACAGCCAAAAACTTACTAATTCTATAGGAAACGCTTACGCGCACACCAGTGCTTGCCACCCAACACTTTCCCGCCAAACGTTGTGATGTCATTTTGAACATCTGCATTGTATGTTCTGGGTCTCTTTACGTTGTGACGCTGATGCGTAAGCCTTTGTGATTTCACTGCTCAGCCTGAAGGAGCGCTAATGAGTCAATTTCGCACTGCTCGTGAAGGCTACAGTCATGGAATTACTCTGTCTTCATAGTACAGCAGAATAGACGCTTTTGACAGACACTGTCAAAGAATAAGAATACATTGATAAACTCAATTTTTTTACATGATTCTAAGAAGCTGTTGTGTGGTGGTTGTGTGGCGTAGACACTGGTAGACACAGAAAATGTTATGTGGGTGGTATACACGATGTAGTGTATGATGTTATATTGTTTATTGTAAAGTAATATATTTGAAGATATTTACAATAATTTGTAATTTTTGTAATGATGCGGGTTTGAAGAGGAATTGCAGTAGTGGTGTCATCTGATTGAATTCTGGTAAATGAAGCTCATTTTGTTTTTTGTGTGTGATTTGCGTTGGCATGAACTTTTTATGTACTTTAATGGCATGTGAACGTTTTATTAAGTTACTTGTGAATATTTTCTGTTGTTGACAATTCTTTGTCTCCGGGGAGTGATACATTTGCCTTTGTAGCGTTTTGTATTCGTTGTGATTGCATGTTATCGCTTTAAACTTTTTCCCACAGGTACTATATGTTTACGATATTTTTTATCACGATAAATTCATGGATTATGCTGACCTTTATAGACATTCAGTCATTCGTGACATTGACGGTCCTATCCGGAACATTACAAATTTTTCCAGTAGGATTTTGGAGTTTGCAACCAAGTAAAACTAAAAAGTGTCTAAACATAAATATTTTAGTTCATATTTTAAATTAAAATCGTAATTGTGAAGCGTCATTTAATATTTGTTGTATGGTGCACTCCATTGGCTGAATGTTATGACAGTTGTCACTTAGTGTAGTGACAGAGTTTAATTAGAGTATATTTTTAAACTATTTTTAACTTTACTTAGTTCCACACTCTTAATTCTGCTGTTTCAAAAACATTACAAATTCATGATTGAAATGTCATTTTTATGTAACTTCAAGAAAATGTTTTCACATTAACCTCTCAAGAAAATAAAAGCCTAGTATTCACTTACTTTCATGGACATTGAACACTGACTTGCTTTTAGTACTTATCCCTGCTGCTTGAAGGTCCTGAAATGCCAAAGGTAGCATAATACAACAGTATGGAAGTTTTAAAATATTAGTAGATTACAGAATATTATTAAGAATACGTTTATGGATAACTGTTTGGAGAGGGAATATTATTTACACAATAGTTGTTTAATCAAAGAAAATGTAAAATTGAGAATCCTTTTCATTCCGTCATGAACGTTTCTAAAATATTTTTTCAAACTTTGGAATTTGTTACAAAGTCTAAGAGCTCAAATAATAGCAGCAGCTAGATATTGTTTTTTGTTCCTTAGTCTGTCATAATTTTTTAATTATTAAAAGTAAAATCTGCATTAGTTACTGGAGAACTAAGAAAACGTTATTCCTATTGATTAGTGCGGAAATAGTTGCAATTTGAAATTTGTGAAGTCACATTGAAATCAACGATGTCTTAACAATATGGAAAATGAATGATTAGTCATAAAGTAAGTCAGTAGACTATTGAGAAAACGGTAGTCTGAACATGGCATGGAATTTTCATGTCGGATTCTGTTTTAATGAACAGTTCCAATCATTGATTCTAAAGTGATACTTGAATCTATAACATTAAAAGTAGTTTCATGTACTGGAAATGAAAATTGCACGATAATGGGTGAAAATGTTCAGAAAAATGGTAAAGCTAAGAAATTTTAATATCTATACCTTAATATGTGAATGTGGAATGTGCATAATGTCTGATTATTAGGGAGAGGATTTTTATGTCCTACAACATCCTGAAATATACTTTCAAAAATATGCATTTATGATCTTAAGATTCTGAAATATACCTTTAATATGCAATTAAAATGAACAGTATTTCATTTCCCTTTTAAAGCTTTCTTATTAAAATTTCAGGAGAAGGGTGCTTGAAATTATTATATGTTTGTGCAAACAACATTATCAACCTTACATAGTATGTCTTCTTGCATTTCTTCTGCCTAGTTTAAAAAAAATTTGATATAAGAAATAACCTACATTTGCCTAAATATTTTATCATCCATAAAAAAAGAAAAAGCAATAGTATAACTTCAATATATTTTCATCTTCAAATTTTGCTTTATTTCTACAATTTCAGTGCTGCATTGCAGTATGTTACAAATACTACAGGCATATTGTGAAATGAAAAAGCCTGGCAATTTTCTGCCAACATGGTCTTCAACATAGAGAAACATCTTTCCACATTCACAAAAGTTGAGAGGTGCATACTTGAAATAGCTTAGATCATTTGGCATATCTTCTTCCACATTTTCAACAAAAAGGTTTCCAGATAGTACATAAGAAACGCAACTTAAGGACTGGAATTCTTTATTTTTTCCAGCACTTTTCAATTTTTTGCATCACATGCCTCGCTATGTCACCAGTTACATTCTTCAGCTTATCCTCTGCTTCCCGAACAAACTTCACCAAGCATCAAGCAAATTAAACATCAAGCATCTGAAAATGAACAGTTCAAAATGAGCAATATTCAAAATCACTCCATAGTTAAAGTTGCCTGTATTTAAAGCATTGTAGATTGAACTTACTTTATCTGCAAGAGAGACGCCATGCTTTTCCAAAGAAGCAATTGTGGAAGGAAAAAATCCATAGTTTGTATTGATATAAACCAACTCTCCTTTAGCTTTTGTGCTGTGGAGCAAATCTATCGACATGTGAATTGAAGCTACATCATTAGTATTAAAAGGAATTGTAACTTCCTTTATATCTTCGAAGTGTTCACAGTAATATTTACATGCATTTTTCCATGTTTCCCATCAAGTGATCACTAGAACTGGAGGAAAAGGAACGTTTGGCACTTGATTGTTCTGATCAACTAACACTAACAAATAAATAGATTCTAGGAAAACATTTTAATGAAATATGCAAAATACGTACATTTAATTACACAAATATGCACAATTAGGAAAAATCTGTCGAGTATTTTTCAGAAAATAATTGTAATTCTAATGTGTATACTTCATCTTTGTCATGTGGAAAATGTGGAAGTTTAATATATTTACTTATATTAATAATATGGTCATGCACTTGGAATATGCAGTTATCAAGAAGCTTTGTGTATGATAGCATTTAAAAGACGGGACTGGTGGACATATTATGTTTAATAGTGGATGCTTGGTGAATAAAGAAGTGGTATTCTTTTTCAAAGAGAATTTTACAAACATCATCTTAAATAGACCTAGTAATATGTTCTGTGGACTATTTGGGATGTATATCCACAGGAAATATGTTCGTAAGTTGAAAAAAATGATTGTTTCTCGAAATATTATAAGAAAACCCTATCACCAGATTTAATGATTTTAGATTATTTATTGATAAATTAATGCTTACAAGAGTTAAATTAGACACAGGAATTTCAACCTGCTACTTTAGTCTTCCCTTCTGTATCCAAATAAACAAGAAAATGCTTTTCTCCCTGACAAAGATAATTTCTATGGCTTAAAAATCAACAAAAAACAACTGAACAAAATCTTCAATATTCAGTTCCCGAAATGCATCATTATTGATTTTAATTTTTTAAAGCTAAAAGTACAAAAAGTTCTTGGTATTGAGTCATATTAATGACCATTTTTTCAAAAATATCCGATTTTTATTTTTGTCATTTATATCACATTTTTACTTGTTTCCACATTTGCATCTCGGTTACAATGAACAAGAGATACACGTTTCATCTGTCATAATGAGCAGTGGATCAGGAATCAGCGTTCAGAAACTTTCTCATGATGTTACACGTGTCTAGTATGAGACTCTTCTGCTGCTGGACCGTTTTGCCAGTTGCAGTTCAGCCAGGGATTCACGCAGTAATTTAAGAATTTCACCAGTGGCACCTAGAATTATTGGTACAATCATCATCTTTTTATGTCGCTCCACATTTGCTTTATCTCATTTGCCAGAGGTTGATGTTTTAGAATTTTTTCATTCCTTTTCTTCGGGATGTTAGCTAACGAGACAGCGACATCAGTCAGATACATCTTTTTTTCTTGTAATGCCATACAATGTCTGGTTTATTAGAAGATACAGACATATCTGTTATGATGGATCTGTTCCTGTACATTTTGTGATCATGTGTCAATGACTGGTTCAGGAGTGTACCTTTAATGTGTGTTCGGTTACACATCAAATAGTTATTATTGTGGCATAGTTGCTGATAAATCATTTAAAAAATGTTGTCATGTCGTTTTGAATATTCTGAGGATGCTAAAGTGCTGCGTCCACTGATATTATGGTCTATATTTTCTCTATGTTCACATAGCCAACATTTGACATCACAAGCGTTGGCATCTTTCAGGATAAATTACAGTAGTTTTTATTTGCTTCAACTTGGTCCTGAATAGCTATCATGAAACCCTCTCTTTCAGCAATATGCTCTCCCAAGTACAACCACTTTATTGAGGACTTATGGTCCGTCAGGTCTCCCTCTATCTGGTGCGGGTAGCGTCCATGAAGTTGCTTCTCTTTCCTGTTGTTAATATTAATTTCATTGGTATTTGCTTTTGTAGATTCATTTTATTCATCAGTCAAATTCAATGGTGTGATTTTACGGTCAATGTATGTTACAACCTGATGTATCTTACTTCCAGTTGTTTGTTTCTTGTACTGGTACAGACTTTCCAGACTGTTGGAGGTGGAGAGTCACAATATCTATGACACTTCTTCCTCCCTGAGACCTAGATTGGTGAAATCAATATTGAATGAATCCAGTTTGGTGTGTGACCATCTGATAATATTAAAGCTGTAGGTCAGCACTGGAATTACATAGGTTTTTTAGCTTTTAATTTTCCTACCAGCACTGATGAGTATTAAATTTCTGGGTAATGTTAGATTTAGTAATTTTTTGGTCAACATTAGATCTCCAATATATTTGCAATATTCCTCGGGATTCATTGCATGAATTCATTCTTGTTTAGTGTTTCCTTCTGCCAAGGTTATTGTTGTTACTTTTGTTGTTGTTGTTGTTAGTATTATTATTATTATTATTTCTGTACTGACTGAAGATGTTATGACACTGTTGAATATAAAATCTCCTCCAGATTGCAACCAGTTTTCTAAGGAGCACATCTGGAGACTGTCGATGCCTCTATAATACTTTGTGCAAAAAGTGAACTGTTCCAAATAAAGTAATGTTTTGCGTGTCCCAGTCTTTTGAATGACCTGGGAATTTAGCCAAGTTCTGACACAAATTTTGCAGAACAAATTCCAGAGCTCTGATAACTATCGAGACAACCTGTGATTTGATGCTTCACATTCATCTGATCTCGATTTCCAAACTCCTGTATTTAAGACGTTTCTTGCATTTCGAAAATTGTGAGAGTTCTATGAAAACAAGACCTGTGCCATTGCTTTAAACACCCCCAAAGTGGAGGAGAAAGTGTAGTCAATAATTTTGGGGACATTTTTGAGAAACATTTGAAAATATTTAGGGTTCCTCTAAAGTACTCCTCCGAAATCAGTTTCAAACCTGCAGACATTATTTCTTTACAATAATCAGTATTGAACAACATAAACATTGACCAAAGCGTGATGGTGGTTGGAGAGAGAACTGCCTGTAACTTTAAAACTAAAGCTCATCTGAAATCATAGAATGGCATCATTTATCACTTGCTATATAATGCTAGATATATTTTTGGGTACTGAGCGACATTTTAATTTTTTTCAATTCTACTTAAGAGCATTAATAAGTAATGAATGAAAGTTTATTTAATTAATTGTGATTCGCCGATTTGTTTTCTTTGAAACAATTGCACTTCTAAATAATAATATTGGAACTTTTTCAAGAAATATTTCTATTATAATAAAATATTTTTAAAATATAACATTTCTTTTAAGCTCAGGACTCATTGGAATTTTTTGTTCTCTACCAAGAGTATTAATAAATCATTAGTGTGAATGAATGTTTGCATATCATTTTGCATAATTATTGTAATGACTTACTTTCTTTGTACACAGGAAACCTGAAACCTGTTGTGAGTGACTCTAGTCAAGTGATGTGGATGTGCAATGGTGGTGTGTCAGTCACAGTCAAGTCTGGTTAAAGGTGTGGAATCTTCACCCGATAATGGAGAAAATGATTATGATACAGACAGCAATGATGAGGTAGCACCAAAAACATTCGCAAATTTAGCATCTGAAACCAACAGTGATGCAGTTGCAAAATTTGAAAATATTTCCGTTTGTAATTCAAGTGATGTGCATTTTGGTAACAAAACTTTTTATAATGGCCCTGTTACTATTAAGCAGTTTGTTTATTCACCTGAAGAAAGTTCGGACTGTATTGTGCTTTCCAATGATGAAAGACGCTCCAATATTGACCACAGAGTTAAAAAGCCTAGTGGTATGCCTACCTCAGAGTCAGCTCAGGCATACCCTTCCAGTATGTTTGCACAAATTGCTGATGTGAAATCTAATGATGTCCGTCACTTGCCCAACTCATTTTCATCTGAACAAAACTCGAAATGTAAGTGATTTTTCTCTAATGTTTTCAGTTTTAACACTTGGTTGTTTGTGTGTGCGTGTGCGTGTGTGTGTGCGTGTGCGTGTGTGTGTGTGTGTGTGTGTGTGCGTGTGTGTGCGTGTGTGCGTGCGCATGCACTTGTGTGTGTCTACTAATGTAATATGTCTTCCATGGGTTAGACCTGCATTTGATCCTCAGCCAATGGGCCTGCATGTGGAATTTGTGGAGGACACAGAGCCTACGGCAGGTTTTTGTGTGGCCCTGCCCTTCATTCCATTTCTCTATCATTCATGTGACAATTATCACCTTTATCTACTTATTAAAACATCAGTGACTGATGAACTTTACTGACTACAGTAGATGAAAGGCCCTTAAACCTCCAAAAGTGCAATCTTGAAACGTAACCCACAA